AAGCAATGATTTCACTTTTTTAAAATTACGTTTGTATAACGTTGCAAATATGCTGATTAAAAAAAGTAAGAGAATTACAGGCACGATATCTGATGCTAAAAATTGCGGTTGATACTTTTAAACATCGTTTATAATATTCAATTTGGTGCTTTTGGAATATATAATATGACACTAACGCTACTTATTGTTCTCGAGCTAACTTGGCTATCAAAGCTAAAATCATTATCATATGCTGGTGTCATACGTTTCAAAACCTTAAAAGCATTTTTTTTTAAATTCACATTCCCGAGTTGCATAAAAAAAAAATCAATTTCTCTCTCTTTTTTTCTAAAAAAAAAAAAAATAAAAAAAAATAAAAAAAATAAAAAAATTGGCAGTTTTTTGAAATAACAGTGCGAAGCAGAGGGGCTTTTTCAACTTTAACGATTATAGGGTAACTTTTTTTCATAGATCCACAAAGATGGCCTTTTGGGAATATTTTTGCTGCCTCTTTGCTCTGGCATTGCTACCTGCAGTTGTCAATGGTGCAATATCGGTGACATTAACAACACCAGCTCATCATACTCAGCCCATTGGGCAGGACCACCTTCTGTCGGTTTTACAGAGTATGCATAACTCGCAAACATTCCATCAACTTTCAACCCACGATAAGATTCTATTGGTGGAACTACTTGCTGCTGCGGAGGTAGATGCAGTGACGCATTACATTGACACAATTGGATTCGATAAGTTTCTTGTATTTCTAGATGGTACGTAATAGACTAAAATATTTACCATCAAATTTTGAATGAGAGTTTTTTTTTTCATTTCAAATTCCAAAAAGGTCCGTTTACTGAATCTTTTGCATTTAATTTTTATTATCAAAAACACAAATATGTTGATTTGTTGGCAAAGTTATCATTTAGAATGCTTAAAGTTTGAAGCCATAACTTTTTAAGTAATTACTTACTACTTCAAAATATTTGTTAAAATGATTAATTTTTATATATATTTAGTGGTGACAAAAATAAATGCAACTGAGGCACATTTGCTGGAACATTACATGATTCAGGTACTCATCTTCAATTTTTTCAAACATTAAACAATGCATCAAGACAATGTGAATGAAAAGCATAAAGAATTTTTTTTCCTTTGTCCCTTGCATAGTATTACGTTATTCTAAATGAATTTACCCGAATTAATTTTACACCTTTGTTCTACAAGGAATTGAATCAAGAGAACCCTGGTGGTTCTGGTCAAAATGTTATCGGAAGAAAGGTAAGGACCAATTTTCATTTATTTTAATCTGTTAATTGCATCATGGGTTAACTTCCTGGAAATTGTAACTGGGGGGATGGGGGGAGGGAATCTTATTTCAAGAGAAACAGGCCTGTCTTAAACTTTTCAAAATTCGTTTTCCTATTTTTTCCATCAATATTCGGCACTGAAATCATTTTTATTGAGGAAAACTTGGAAAAACTTTATGACTGAGGTCGATCCCTTTACGCATAACTTTGTATGTGCACTGAAAACCTAGGATATCATGTCAACATATTTAAATTCGTTTGGTATTATATTTAATAAAGTTATGTTAGAATTTTAATGAGGGAATTTTCAGTCAACTGAAAGCAAAATGCAAAGGGTATAGTGTTTGATAAAGAGACATTCTTATCGACAGTGTAGGATAAGGTTTGAAAAATATGTGCGAGATTATAGTACAAGTGCACATTATTGATTCTGTTGAATGTTGATTGCTTGATAGCGTATAAACTAAGAAGAGGTAAGGATTTGTCATTTCAAAATTCATTATGTTTGACACAAAATGCTATGAAAACAAACGACTGGGTCTATTTTTCTTGACATTGATTTCGAAATTGCGGTTAATCAAAGGAGTAAGTTGTGAGGCAACAAATATATTCATTATGCAATAACATATGGAATTAAACAATGTCCGATATTTGGAAATGAAGAGTGAAGGATGAATATGTATCTAGCATAGGGAAATGACTTTAAAAAAAATGTGTTAGAATAAGGAAATATCTAAATTTTGTTCTATTTATTATCATTCTTTCGTGGACCTGACGTCTAGCGGTCGCATTGTCAATCTTCTCGTCGTTAATATCTCTGTATTAAAACATTGCTGTGACGTCATGCCTTTGTTCTTGCAGTCTAAAAATTTACCTGTAGCCGTCCGATAATAATAATTAGCAGTCCAATAATATATTATCGGACGGCAGTGATAACAAAATCAGACAGTAGTTAAAAAACAACAACTAGAGTGAAATCAAGGTTTAATTTGTCCAGAAACCAACAAAAAAGTTAGGAAGAAAAAAGTCAGGGAAAGCAAACGCGATGAAATTAAGTTGTTAAAAATAGCAAATCCAAAAAGAAACTGGAGTTTTAACCTTCCTCAAAAGTAACACTTTCCATTCGGTTTTATGCAAAGCATTTTCGATACAGCACTGTGAATAAGGCAATTTAAATCCATTTCTGATAAAGAACCAGTCTGCGAATCTCTTCATTTAATGAGGTTTGTTCGCCAATGACCGCACTTTTAAAACCCAAGATCCAATAAAAATTTTAGATAAAAATCCGCATTTTTACTTTAAATGCATTTTGAAGATATCATCCAACACTGTATCTGTATCAATGACAATTGCATCTAACAAAAAAAATATTCCGAATCATAAAAAATCCTTCATCAACTTACCACTGTCCATAGTTCCTGCTAAGCCAAACGACTGCCATTGAATGAATGAAACAAAAGAGTTCACTCACTAATTTTACTGTCTAAAGAAAAAAAAACTTTCTCTTTTCTTTTGTCTACTTATTAGATGGTTTCAGGTAGAAAACTATTGATGCCTGAACTCCTATTGTGTAATTATCGGACTCCTCCAGGTAACTTTTGGACATTTAAATAGCAATGTTTTAAGTAAGATATATGCCTCATACAATTCTATATGTAAAATTATCAGACTGTTTTCGGCCCTAACGGGCCTCAAACAGTCTGATAATTTTACATATAGAACAGTATTCGGCATATATCCATTACATAAAAAAAATAGAGGCAATAAGCGTGAAAGAAAAAATGAACAACTTCCTGTTCAAAACAACTCTATGAAAAAATTGACAAATTATGAAAATTAATTTTGTAAACAAGTTTTGAAAAAAAAATTCTTGACATTTTATTTTTTGAAGTTTGCAGAGCCTTATAGATGTCAAATGTGCAGACTAGTTATTTCTTATTTAGATTCGATCCTAGGAGATGGCTTTGTAGTATGAAAGTGGAATTTTTCCTTATTTGGAACAAATAATTTACAGAGGACCTCTCTAGCTGTATATAACACTTCAGCCAAATAACTTTTTCTGAGGGAAAATGGATGTAACAAACATGTATTTCTTTTTCAATTAGAGGGATTTAGCGACGTTCCTGGCTATAGTACACAAGAATCCCGCTGTGCAGTCTCTGTCCACTAGTGATCGGGCCCTGCTGGACGAACTGTTGAGAGCCAGTGAAACCCATACATTGACCCCCGTTATCCACAGAGAAGGATACGCCAGGATTGTCCAGCTTATCGAAAGTAATAGATATTCCAAAAATGAGAGAGAGAGAGAGAGAAAACACTCATCACATCCAGAATTGGAAATGCAATATTTTTTTCTTATTATTTTAAAGTTCTTTATCATATCCCTTGTGTATAATTTATATGATAAATTTGGAAATAGCTTTGATCTAAGCTTAGTCACTTATATTTATAATTTCATATGATGGCAAAATTAAGCTATAAAAACTTAACACACTTCAGTTGTACTGATTTTGAACAAAACTAATTCAAAACTGGATCTTCATTGGATATGACAGAAATATAGAATGAAATGTTTCAAGATAAATTATTTTTTTTTCAATTATTATCAGTAAACATCGCAATTAAACAGGACAAAGCGGGAAAATGTCGCTAGAGATAATTTTGAAGCTTTTATTTATTTTTTGCATTAAGAAGATTTTGGAAAAAAGGTGTTAAAACCTTTCATTGAGTTATTTATTTTAAATATTTTGATAAAACCCTGCAACGCTCTATAATGTTAATGAGAGTATCTTAAGATGACAATTTTTCTATTTAAATAGCCAAGAAGGAGTATATAGGGCAACTTTTGAGAAATAAAGTTTAAAATATATTCCACGATATATTGATGACAGTAGTAAACTGTTCTGAAGTGCTGTACATGATAATCTCATCAACCATAATTAGCCTGTCTTTCTTTATAATAACTTGTGCAAGATGGTGATAGTCACGATTATCAAAAACTTGTTGAAACACTTCATCATATTTATATACTGCAACCCTTTACAATAAGTTTGTTCTAAAACATATTTTCACGATTTTGCTTACAATACAAAAAAATTTAAAGATGTTGAAATATACATGTATAACTGCTGTAGTTCTCCTGATTTTCACAGATATTGGTACTCCAACTGAAACGCATACTTTCATTTCATACATGGTGTCAGTAAGTATAAATTCCAGGTATTGATAAACAGGACACAACACGAACTCCCTCCCCACGAATAACCTGCGAGACTTGTAAAATTTCTAAATGATAAAAAAGCTATATATATATATATATATATTTGAATGTATTCTTTATATTTTTTTTTAAAAAATGGCTAAAACTACCATTGTATAAAGATAAGTACACAAAACAATCTTTATTTATATGCTAGTAGTAAAAACAGTATAATCCAAATTACGAATACTCGGGGTTATTCTAAAGGCCTGTCCAAAATTATCTTAGTATAAACTTAGTATAAAATTATTAACGATTTTTTTTTTATTTTGTGAGGGACATTTCAATTTATAGATTTATATAAATAAACATTTACGGCTTATATTGATTTGTAGAAAATAAAATAATACTAGTGATTGCTTAATTATATATAATTCTTATTCTTTTATGTGATTCCGATTAAGCCTATTGTGTCTTTTTTTTAAATGTTTGATAAAATGTTCTTTTTTATTCAGCATTTGAACCAAGAGGCTGCTCAACACTCTACGACCTAAATGTTCAGTTTTCACTCTTTTTTATTAAATTATAAAACCTATTAGTTGTATACTTCATTTACTTAATTGTAATTATGACGATTACAAAAGCAAAACCTTTTACAGAACTTTTTTTTTCTAATTCCAAATTACCCTTTCCTCATTCTTTAAGTATCATTGACATTGCAACAGAATAAGGACAGTCACGTAGAATGAAATAGGAAGAAAACAAACAGTAATCAAGCTTAAAAGTCCAAGGAAACAATACAAATCAGGAGCAGAGCAAACATGAACCTCTAAAACCTTAGAGGTGGGATCAGGTACCATAGAGGAGTAAGCATCCCCTGTCGACCGGTCACACACGCCGTGTGCTTCTTGACATGGTGGAGCAAACGGAAAAATCCTTGGACAATTTAGTGTGAAAATAATGGCCTAACAATTCGTATGCTTCTAAAGAAAAAGTAATAATTATAGTCCTCTTGATTTACAAATATCTTAATGTACTTCAGTGGTTCAAATTATGATCTACAATAGACTAAAAATATAAAATGAAGTGATAAAATAATACAGTTAAATAAATTTTATAAAGTAATACCACCATTTATCTGTAGTCAAACATGGGAAAAATCTTCGAATATTTTTTCTTAATAGCATCTTGACCGCATATCATATCTATAAATGTATCATATAAAATCATCCCCAATTTAGTGTAGAATTAGTCATGTTAGTTTTAAGTAAAAATTAAATACTCCTTGTAGCTAGGATAATTTGACAAAGAATTTTAATTGCAGTTGATAACATTTAGTTCACAAAATATCACACATAGTGAGTGTTTGCTAGCACGATGTGTTCAAACTCGTTGTGCCCTCTCCAAAGAAGCGAGTAATTTACAGAAAAATTGGTTCATTGCACTTTTTCTATCGCTGGACACGTTATTACCATCGTCTCAAGCCACGGTTCGGAGTCCACATATATAGCTCTCTCCTACCAGAATGGGAGAGGATCGTACATTTTGGCCGTGGTTTACGACGATGGTTATTACTCGTGACATAAATATAGTTAATAATTAGAACCTTATATCACTTATTTTAAATAAGCCAAAATTTAGGAAACCCCGATCTTTCAACTGGCGTCATAATTTCATAAATATGATGAATTCTGTGGAAGATTACTCCAGGCGATGGGCTAGACATGAAGAAGAAGACCATGACACTTTGTCAGAATGGATTAAGGGTATCAGATGTATGTTAAAATCTCGTATAAAGCGATTGAAGGGCGATAAAAACCATCTATAAATAGATCCTTCTGTGTTCAATAATTCAGAAGAGAAAAAGAAGAATTAGATACATTACACTATTAGTATGTAATGGTCCCCTCTGACAAAGCAAGTAACAACATTGACCTTGTTTGTAAGCTCATTATTTAAATTCAACAAATGGTAATCCATTGAATTAACATATCTATACTGGATTCCGAAAATTCATAAAAATCCTTACAAAGATACATAGCGGGTTTCAGTAAAGTCAAGCCTCTTTCTTTACTCCTCACTAAAATATTAACAGCAGTGAAGGAAAAACTTCAAGAGTATACTGTGCAACAAAATATTCAAGAAGTGGTGTAAATCAGATGTGGATTCTTAAAAATTCAAGGGAACTTTTGAAAAATTTGAAACACAAAATTTCACCAAAATCAATAACATCAAAACTTACGACTTTTCAACTCTATATACAACCGTTCCCCACGATGACTTGAAGTCTAGGCTGTTTTTCAATAAAGATGGAACCCTTAAATTTCCTTACCTTATCATTGGTAATTACAATATTTTTTAAATTCTGAAATTGATATTAAAAAGATTCTTGAGTTTCTGATTGACGATATCTATGTGTTTTTCAGATCAGGTCTTCCAACAATCTGGTGGAATTTCCATGGGTACCAATTGAGCCCCGCTATTGGCAGATATATTTTTGTATTCATATGAAGCAAAATTTATTCAAAATCTTGTACATGAAAAGAAGAAAAGACTTGCTGTGGCCTTCAACTTGACATTAGGATATATTATCAATTAACAATAGTTAATTCCATTCATATGTCGACACGATATATCCAAGTGAGCTTGAAATAAAAGATACCACAGAGTCTGACAAATCTGTTTCATATTTGGATATTTTACTAGAAAAAGACTTTAATGGTAACCTAACAACAAACCTTTCTGATAAACGTGATGAATTAAATTTTTCAACCTCCCTTACTTATGAAGCTATAAACCACTATCACCTCCATACGGAGTTTATATCAGTTGATCCGATACGCAAGAGCATGCTCTACGTATAAACAATTTCTAAAACGAGGTAAGTTATTGACAAACAAGTTGATGAAACATGAATATCAACAGTCTCATTTAAAGTCATCATTTCGCAAGTTCCATGGTCGATACAATGACATTGTCAGCAAATACAATCTATAATTAAGTCAAATGCTGACTGATGTTTTTCGAACTAATTGTTATGCCATTATTTACACACCCTAATTGTCTACGGGTTTTACCGTTATTTCCCGAAAAGTAGCTCCATGAAAAGGAGCACACAGCGGGTGTGACTGGTCGGCAGGGTATGCTCACTCCTCCATGGCATCTGATCTCACCTCTGATGTTTTAGAGATCCGTGTTTGCTTTGCTCCTGATTAGTATTGTTAAACTGGATTTTTGAGCTTGATTACTGTCTGTTATCTCCATATATTTCATCGAATGATTATATTGATTAATTTTTCAGAAATTTTATCTTTAAAGTTCCCTAATAGGTGTAAAGTAAATATTTAAGAAAAATGTTTTTTTTTCCTAGAATGAAACGCATACCCTTCTTAGAATACAGAGAGCTGACTATATCACTTTACAAAGGCACAATTTCCGATTCGCGAAATAGGTGTACCTAAAATTTTGCTTTTCTATGGTAGTCAAGATACTTTATGACAACATTAACAACAAAACATATCTTTATAGTAGCTCAAAGAAGATGGGCGCATTTAGCATGCGGTCTGCAAGAAGCGTATGTACGAATCATTCACAGTTTAAAGTTCCAGTCAGGCAGACAATTGGGTAGGCTAACCACAGCTGGATAGACTTTACGAAATATAAGCAAAGGAAGTTGTTACATTACATTGATATACCTTGTCAAAAAATTTTAATATTTAAATCTGCTTATCTTAACAGTTCAGATATCATTGTATCAATTCACATAACTAATAAACAGCTATAAGAAAACAGGGTATGGATAAATGCGAATGTTTCAAAATGTCAATGGGTGGGAAGTATTGCTTTCGTTCTCGTTGCAACAAATTCAAAATATTGTACAATACAACTCGTGAAAAAGGCATAATCACGGACCCCTTGAGATTCCAGAGGTCGGATTAGGTGCCTAGAAGGAGTAAGCATCCCCTGTTGACTAATGAGTATTCAAATTGGATAAAATAAGCTATTATTAACGTTTATTCACAGACAGATAAACTGAGTTTTGCATTCGTAAACTATAGTTTACAACAGTTATAAATACTGAGATGAACGCTATAGTGAAATCTCGTTAACTGTAGAATACGCTTTGTTAACCATAGCTCATAACTGATAAACATAGTTTATCAACAGTAAATCTTGTCGTTTTTTATTTGGCATTCCATGAAAGTTTTCATGATGACTGGTAGAAAGTCTTGCGTTGCATTGCGAAACAATTGCCAACTGAATAGCTTAATGATTAAAAATGAATATGTAAGATTCTAAAAATTGATCAAATATTCGAAACATATATAACTATCGACTAAAACTCAACAAAAAATACCTCGGTTATATGCACTTACTAGTAATTTGTTTTCGTATATTTCTTGTTTTATAATGCATCAAAAACGTACATAAGTGCATTATGAAAGATAACGGTATTCTGAAAAATGTATATATTTCAACGTGCATATGGTTCTTTCTTCATCGCAGATGGATTATCAACATTATATAAGTTGGCGTCTTTAGTGTTCTACACCAGTATACACGACGATAAAATTGCAATGTATTAGAATTTCAAAAGAAATGGGTCATCACATTTTATGAAGAAAAAACTTGATTTAGGGATTAGATATGTGTTAAGGGAAGTTGCTTAAAGAAAATTATTATCTTCATGAGATAAAATAAAACTCTCTACAACCGTTTTATCGGTAGATGATAGTATATATAAGTCATGATGTTTTGGGAAAGAACTTTGGATTAACCTAGAAGTAAGCTAGATATAATGATTTGAACCTGATAGAAATCTAAATACTAAGTATACATTTTATTGACAGATTTACAACTACTTTTTTTATCACTAGTTAAATTCTGTCCAATTAATTGACCTAAAACCATACAATTTTCCAATGTTAGGCTAGGTACCGAAGATGAAATTTTTTTAATGTAGATGTACTTTTCCCGCTTGGGATTAATTTACCCTATATACGCGTCACAAATTTTCAGCGTATTTTAAAGGCATTTAATTAAAACAAACAATGGGAAACCAAAAAATCCGCGTAATTTTCTACCCGCGGATTGAACACAAATTGTCATTCAGTGGAATTGTGATCCCGTGAACGAACTAATTCGAAATATGTTTTCGGAACCTATTATTTTTCACTGTTCAGAATTATAATACGCAAAGAGTTCTCGGTAAACATAGCAAGACTGCAGCGAGACTAAGTAATGAAAATTGTAGATAATGAACAATAATCATGCTAAAATCCAGTGAAACAATACAAATTATTAGCAGAGCAAACATGGACTTTATCTGAAAACATCAGAGGTACGTGGGATCTAGTGCCACTGAGGAGGAAGCGCCCCATATCGACCCTTCACACCCACCGTCTGCCCCTTTTCGTGATCGTGTAAAGGGAGAAAATCGTAGATGATTCAGCATGAAAATACTGGCCTAACAATTTGTATGATAGAGGTTAGTCAACATTTAATCTAACAACGGATTTTATTTCTAAACAAGGTCATTATATCACCTTTAGAATATGCAAAATATTG